ACCTCTCATTTTTCTGTGGGAACCATTTTAAGTTTTTTTTTTTTTGTTTGTTTTGTTTTGTTTTTTCCTATTTCTTTTCTTTTTTTTTTTTTTCATATTGCTTCAATTAATGCTTTTGGGAATTAGTTTTGAACTTTTTCTGGCATATTTTTTCTTTTTCTTTCTTTTCCTTTCCTTTTTCTTTTTTATTGTATCTGGTTGTTGCAGGGTCTCACTACGCAGCTCGGACTCGTGGTGATCCTCCTACTTTCAGCGCCCCCAGCGCTGGGATTACAGGAGTGCGCCACCACGCCCAGACTCCCGCCGGCTCAGCCCACGCGGGGAGGGGGGGGGTCAGGGATGACGCGGCATGTGGTGCTGGGGGTCAACCGCGGTCTCTGAGCCTGCCTAAGCAGGCGCTAGTGAATTGTTCTGTCGAAGAATCCAGACCCATGGGCCCTGCTATTTACCTTCGCACTTCTTATGCAGGGGTGCTGTTGCTCTTGGCTCCGGGTGTTAATCTAAGTGCATTTCTCTCAATGTGCATGAGATCCTCAGTTTTTTCTCCTCTTTTGGGAAGGTTCATTTATTTATTTTTTTAGGGGAGGTTTCTTTTTTGTTTTTGGTGCTGAGGACTGAACCCTGGGCTTCCAGCTTGCTAGGCAAGCATTCTACCACTGAGCCAGATCCCTAGCCCTCTACAGTAAATTTTTATGTTTTTCAATTTGTATATATTTTCTAATTATGTTCAATCATTTAGGTTTTGCTTGTTCCTTTTGGCTTATTTTCAGCTCATTACATATTTATTACTATGTTTTGGCTTGTGATAAAACTTGCAAATACTTTCTGTAATTAATTACATCCTATTAACTTAAATTTTAAATTCAGAATAACTTAGGTCTTATGAGAGCTCATTCTTCATGTGGACAGTGTCTTTGGTAAAGCAGTGAGTTGCTAAAACTGAACAGAAAATTTATTATTTTTATTAATGCATATTAATTCCGCAGAGTTAATATAGTTAAGCTATTAATTCTGTGGAATTAATACGGGTTACATTTTTACATCATGCCTATGTGCTACTTTGATCCTGTCAATCTCTCTGATTTCCTTTCTCCTCCCTAATGGTCTCTCTTGGAAACAATAAGGTGTTTAGAAGTAAATTTTATTTTAGTGTACTTTTAGATTCACAGTTTTAATATAAGTGTAGTACATGGGTTTCCCTACACTCTGCCTCCACTTTCCAAGATGTTTAGCATCTTCTGTTAGTGTGGTGTATTTGCTACAAACAGCGAGTCAAGGTTGAGATGTCATTGCTAATCAGAGGTCCTACTGCACTGAGACTGTCGTCATTTGGCCCAATTGTCCTTCTTTTGTTTCGGCGTCTTATGGAGGACTCCAGGTTGCTTTAAGTACTCACATCTCCTCAAGCTCCCCTTTGTTGCCACAGTTTTATACACTTTTCTTGTTTTTGATAACCTTTAAGGTTTTGAGGAACACAGACCTGGTATGGTGAAAAATGACCCTTCGTTGTGACTGTCCTAATGTTTCTCATGATCATACTCGGACAATGTTTTTGGAAGGAGCCAGTGAAATGGAAGTGCTGTCACACAGTGTTAAGGGTGCATGCTGTCACCGTGACCTGGCTCTGGATGCTCAACCTTGAGCACCAATTTCAAGTATTATCGTCAGATTTCTCCACTGTGAAGTTGCTCCTTTCTTATTTTCTTCCTTCTTGTATCATACTTTTTGGAAGAAAGTCACTGTGTGCATCTAGAATGTAAGAATTGAGACTCACACTCTACCACCTTAAGGCTAAATAAATTCTTTGGAAATCTTAGTTAGAGATTTCCTCCCTCTCTCCTTCCCTCCATGGGTTGTTGGAACCCAGACAAAGACAGTGAAGTCCTGAAGACATTTCTGGAGAAACTCGGCGACTTTTGGAGGAAGGGAACAGCCTTCCTGAAGCCCAGCTTAGGAGGGAGAGCACCTCCTGCCGCCCTCCATCCTCTGGGAGTCCAGCAGTCAGGGCAGCCCTTTCACTGTTACATGGTCTGCTACCCCAGACTAGGGATTGGGCTGGAAAGAGTGTAGAAGCTTCTGCCGTGACAGACCAGAACGCCTTGCAGGCGTCGCTGGACATACTTCCTTGTGTTGTTGTTGTTGTTGTTTAGGTGGTAACAATGGTTGTTGTATTGCACATTGTTGGCTTCAGTGTAGTTGCCCAGATTGCCGGGCATAAGCATGTAAAATTGGTTCAAATAAAGTTTAAACATTGATTTCTCCCATTCAAAAGAGCAATATAAATTAGTAGTGCAGTCATCTTAGTTATTCTGTGTACAAACTTACATGATTTTTTTCACCTTTTTTTCTTTCTTTCCTCCTTTCCCTGGTCCCAATTGTTCATTCCTTTTGGATAATTTCTTTGCTTTTTACTGCATCTATTGTACCTTTTGGATTTTATTTACTCATTCAGGCTCTTACACTAGGGAGAAAATAGGATATTTATATATGTGGGTCTAACTGATTTAGTTATGAATATAGCTTCTAGTTGAATCCATTTACCTATAAAAGTTTCCAGTCTATCTTTTTCATAGCAGAGTAATACTCCATTGTATAAACATACCACATCATTTTTATCCATTCTTCAGTTAATGGACATTGGAGTTGTTTCCATGATTTAACTGTGAGAAATTGTGCTGCTATAGACATGGGTGCACATAAATCACTGTGGTAGGAAGTGAGTTCTGAAAAAACACCCAGCATATTTTCTTTTCAGAAAAAAAGGAAACATTGGTTTTTCACCATTATTATTATTATTACAGAGTCTCACTACTAATCACTCTGTTAATATAGAATAATTTGGGGGCTGGAGAGATGGCTCAGTGGAATAAGTGCTTCCCTGGCAAGCGCAAGGGTCTGAGTTCAATCCCTGGTTCCACAAAAAAAAAAAAATATATATATATATATATATATGAATTCACATAATTAAACATTTTATTTGGAGTAGATTTGACTGGGTGCTTAATGGCTACCTACATTACCTAAATTACAGAACAGTCTATAAAGCCATGAATTAAATACAGAAAGATGGAAACAATAGTGCTCAAGAGAACCAGTTTCAGAGTGAACATGTATGTTAAGAAGAAAAAAAAGATGATAGAGTTTAATGAGAAAAAGATCAGAATTGATTTTTTTTCTTGCAGTATTGGGGATTGAACTCAGGACCTTGTGCTTTGCAGGCAGGGGCTGATTCTACTGAGCTGTCTCCCCAGCCCAAGATCAGAATTGAAAAGATTCAGAAGTGTGTTAATGGTGCGTCTGTGTTATCAGACACTAACAGAATATTGGTCTTGTTAACCTCAAGGATTATATTCTGAGTACTCAGCACTGATATAGCATAGACACCAACCAACCAGAATGGAGCTTTGAAAAAAATCAAGCAGATGAAATTAGGATGAATATACCCATAGCATTTAGCATTCACATTTTGTATTTAGATATTATTAATGGAAGGCACTAGCACCTTAATTTAGTCTTCTACTGACTTCATCCAGTTTCATGATGTTATATACAATTGATATAGTATCCATTCTTGAATTACACTTTCTAGTGATTCTGGTTAGAAATACTTGTACCTTTTTTGTTTTGTTTTACTGCTAATTTTAGATTTCTATTTGTGGATATGCCAAAGTTTGTCCATCTATTTATCCACTTATACTCATTTGGACTGTTTTAAATTTTGGAACCATTATGCATAAATATGTTGGAAACATTTATACAAGAAGTATTTGCGTATCCCCAGCATCACATGTCCCACTGGCTCTGCCCCCAGACGCACTGAGTGAGCCACCAAAACCGGGCATGATGGTGCATGCCTGTGATCCCAGGCCTGGGAGGCTTGAGAACGGGAGGATCACTGCAAGTCCGAGCTGTGCAATGAGACCCTGCACAAAATCCATAAAGAGAGATGCATTTGCATAGATGAATATTTTTATTTTTATTTTTTGGAGAATGTCCTGGTAGTAAAATTTCTGGGCTGTGGATAAATTACACGAATGACTTCATGTAACAGTGCAAAATCGGTGTTGAAAGAGATAGCATATCGTTCCTACCAGCCATGTAGGGCTCCAGGTCCTTTCCAGTTTCACTGCTACTTGACAAAGGTAGCCTTTTCATTTTTATAATTCTCATGAGTGAGTACTGGCATCTTGTGAATTCATTTCTCGTGTCGATGATGATTAATGACTTTGACCATCTTTTCACTGGCACATTGGGCATTCATTTGTCTGTCGTGAATTGTGTGTACAAATCTTTTGTGCATTTTAAAAACTTGGGCTGGACAGCTTTGCAAGGCCTTTCTGGATAAATTTATTGTGACTATTTTCTCCAGCTTTGATATCTGATTTTCACTTATGTAACAATATTTTTAGAGAGGCAAGTTGAAAGAGTTTTGAACTTCAATCTCTTTTCTGATTTATTTGACTCATCCCTTTTATGTGCTGTTGAAAAAATGTTTGCATATATCAATTTGGGGATATTTTATCATATTTTCCTTTGTTTCATAGTTTTAGGTTTTATGTTGAGGGCTATCATCCTTTTTAGGTTAATTTTTGTTAAGCCAAGGCACATGGGGTCAGCATGAAGCCCTATGTCACTCCTGCACGTAGGTCTTGGATTTCCCTTAATTCTCTGTTGCGCTTAGGGAACAAATCTGAGAAATACAGAAACCTGTAAATCTCATATAAGAGGTCAGGAAAAAGGAGGACTGACATGGGAATGTTTAGACCAACAGGAAAAATCAAGTTTAGAATATACTTTATGCAATGACTAACATTTTCTAAAGTTTATTGGTATAATTCAGACATAACCTATTGATCACATTCGTCATAGGGAACTTATACTTGGCCATTATATATGTTACTTCTTTTTTCTCACCCCTCCCCTCCCTTCAACCCAATGTTCTTCTTCCTGTATTAACTCCTCTGTCTCTACACAGAGGGGTCATTACTTTAAAGAACAGGAAATTTCTCTCCAGCAGTTACCGGTGGATTTGATCTCTCCCTACAGCCTGTTCCAGGAAGGGAGCCATCGAATTCAAACTTTTCATGTCAAGAACCGATCTCTTTTAATGAGAATTTTACTAGATTACCCACCCTTTCACTGCTGCTATAAAGCATCCACGGTACCAGCCCTTTTATACAACAGATTGGGTTTTGTTTAAATACCATTGCTTATCTCAAGCATTTTTAGGTCATTTCCTTGGGAATTTTAGAAAAAGACCATAATAGTAGAAGATTGGTGTCAACTTAGCTTTTTTTTTTTTTTTAAATTTTTTTTTATTTGTGTGTGTGTGTGTGTGTGTGTGTGTGTGTGTGTGTGTGTGGCCAGCTCAGCCCACCAGGGGGCGGGGCGGGCTGGCATGTGGTGCTGGGGGATTGAACCACGGTCCCTGTGATTTGCTAAGCTTGTTCTAAGTAGGCGCCTTAGACCACTGAGCCATCTCACCAGCCCTAATGGAATAAGGTTTTTTTTTTATTTTGTTTTTTTTTTGTTTTTTTTTGGTTCCTCGAATGCCTTCAGGGCACTTTTGGCCAGCGGGAGAGTTGTGAGGTTCGAACTCCAGCAACCTGAGGCTGACAGCTTTGTGGAAGCAGCCACTTAAAGGACTGAGCTAGGGCCAGGCCCACCTCAACTTAGCTTTAAAAAATAAAATAACTTATTGTTTCTTAGGTATTTGGGGAAGTCTTGGCATACTTCCATATCATTTGTTAGGGATTTTTTTAATATGCAGGGCATATTTAACAAGATATATTTTTCTTTATATTTCCATTTCCCCGTCTTATTCATTATTTCTCTCTCTTTTGTGATTAATGCACTTTCACAGTTTTTATTATGAAAAGTAATATTATAGGATTTAGGAAATTCACTTTGAAGTCTCTTTTGTCCTTTCATTTTCTTATGTTCTTCCTATGTTGTCATCTTTTCTTTTTCGTAACTTCTCCTTCCCTTCTGCATTAGTCTCCCACACAAATGTGCACATTCAGAGCGGTCCCACCGAAGTCTGGTACGTTTGCATGCTTGTTTGGGGGACTCGTTAATGCCAGGCAGGGTGTGTTAATTCTCTGTTGGTTGCTTCACAGCCTGCAAAGCGATTCAATTTGTTCCTGAGGCGGCGTCTAATGGTAAAATACTGCTGAATGATGCTGCTCACGCTCAGACGGCTGCAGTAGGGACCCTGACCGTTTCTCTTCCAATGAGCACTATGATGTAGGGAACTTCATCATAGATGGCTAGTTCTCAGGCAACCGGTGGTTAACAGTGATGATGCTGAAGCCTTTAGGATCTGATGAGACCTTTTTCTAAAATGTACACACACACACACACACACACACACACACACGCATGCACACACACACACACACACACACACACACACACACAGCTCTTGCAGTTTAAGAGTTTGTGAACCCCCACTAGCAAAATAGGTTTATAAATTTCAGAGTAACTACATCACTCAAAGAGAAGCTATTCAGATGCTTGCATTATTGTAAATGTGCATTTCTAAGAATAAACCAAATATAATAACAAACATACACATCTTGCAAAGCATGATCTTATGTTACATTCTGAAAAAACAAAAGAATGATGTGTTTTAATTTGTTCAGTTATATGCAACCAAACTATCAGGTTCTTCTGCCCAATTATCTTTAAGCAATTTCCATCAACAACCACAACCCTTATACCTATGGCATTTAAAAAGTTAATAATAGTTTTTTCTATATTTTTAGAAAAAAAATAATTTATAGTCAGGACCTGACATAAATATAGAAGTTTAAGTTTTCTCAGTAGCCCTTGACTTTCAGTATATAAGATGTATAAGGACCTATTTTATAGCAGACTTAGGAAAGTACTAGTGTTGCTGTTCTTTAACTGCTTTGCCAGTTGTCTAATTTTCAAATACTTGGCATGTGATTTTTGTTCATTTCGGTCTGTATGTCTTCTTTCACTGATGCTTAGCTTAGCTAAACTAATATTCATAAACGTATTATCCATTTAAAGAGAATTTCACCATGTAGACTAGGCTGCCCAGACATTTTGCTTCATTACAAATAGTCTAGTGAGTTTTCCTGTCCTTTGGACTCCCCCAAACTTTCGTGCACTTCCTAAGTTGTGCTGATGTTATCATGATTTCTGAGAGTACAGTGCATTTTCGTTTGTTTCCTTTCCTTTCCTTCTTGGCTTGTAATCTTTCTCAGGCCCTCCAGTATTTTTTTTTTTTTTTGCCATAAATGCATGGTACAACTTGTGAAAGTTGAATGTGTGCATTTGATTATTGTGTTGAGTGCATCCATTTAAATTTAAAGAAAAGATGGTGGCTCACCTTGAGAATTTGAGTCTGAAGGGTGATTTGCATGAGAAGTTAATTGCTTGGTGAGGCCATCTGCCAAATGACCTTACGAAGTTTTCACTGTCCCTTCTATTTTCATACCTCAAAAGTTGACTTGATAAAATGGAAATTGTATCAATACATCTGTGAACATTAAACGTTAGTTTACTTTCTTACAGTGAGATTCCATTAATTGCTCTGTAAGTAACCATTAATTATTTACCAGACTAATTGATGCGCTGTTTCTTTAGAAAACAGGGCTCTGCCTGAATATGCCCCTGGGACCAGTGTTTGCACATATTCATTTTCTGTTTTAGTACAATTGCAAAATTTGTGTGTGCATGCAGTTAGTACGATTAACTCCCTCCTGAGTAGTGTGTAATACATGCTGTGGAATTTCACTTTTTAAGATAGGCATATTCTTTTGTTGATGAAAACTCTCATTATATAAGTTTTAATTTCTGGCTGAAAAACAAAATTAGACTGTGAAATAATTTTACATGACCTTTAAATTTTTGCTGTGTGGCAATGAGCAACAATGTAAAATCATTTCGTCTATGTCTCTTGCAGTTTCAAAAGAGTCAACAAAGCAAAGATTCTATCTTCTTCCGAGATGGGATCAGGCAAATTGATTTTGTACTTTCCTATGTTGATGACATAAAGAAAGATGCTGACATCAAGGCGGTAAGTGCTTACCTGAGAGAAAAGGGGATGTTAAAAGAGAGCTTCAGCAGAATTAACCCCATATATATA